AACATTAAAGACTGTGGGGGCTTTTGAAGTTGAAATAAGTGCATTTTGCATTACAAGAAGGTCATGAGCCTATGAGGACAAGGAGTGGAAAGTCATGCTTTTGAAGGGATGTATTTAGGTGTCAGGCTGACAAGGGGATAGAGTTGTGGTATTTAATCCTGACTGTCAACTTGACTGGAATTAGAATCACAATAGAAATAAATCTCCACGTGTGTCTATGAGGAATTATTTAGATTAGTTTAATTGAGGTGTGAAGACCCACTCTAAATGTAGGTAGTACCATTCCATGGGCTAGAGTCCTGAACTGCATGAATAGGAGAAAATGAGCCGAGAAGAAACAGCTGCCACACTGGACTGCACCCTTGCATCATGTGCCAAAATAAACCCTTAGTCCATATTTATCCAGTATTTTGTTGAAACGACAAAATAAGTAACTAATACATCTTTTAACCACTCTGCAAGAAAGAGGTTGGAGGAGATGAAGAACCAGGAAAGGGTATAGGCCACATGTCTTTTTGGAAGGTTTTGGAAGGCATATTTCTGCTTGTATCTCCTTGGTCTGAAATGATATAACATCATTTGGCTACAAATAGTGTGGAAATTTTATTTTGGATGACACAGTCTCAAGTAAGCTTTTACTATGTGCCAATAGAAGATTCCACATGGAGACTTCTAAGCTGCAGGACATTGTTACTGTACTTAACTGCTTTGCATTCTTCCCTCTCCCTGATGCATAGTGTTTCATGTCTTAGAATTTGATCTTCGATCCTGTTCACTAACCACCAAGTCCCAGAGATCCAAGAGATAATTTATTGCCTTGTGAGCACAGTAAAATGAGAAAGAATGTGGAAGGCAGATAGCCTTGGCTTCGGATCCAGGCTTTATAAAGTACTGGCTCAATAAATCTGAGTAGTTGCCTAAATCTTCTGGCCTTATGTTGTCTACTGAATAGTGAAATTAAACTCAATTTACAAGGTTGTAGAGAATGAAATGAGATTATCTACACCACCATAATTGACACACACTTCTCAGAACATCTGTGATCCTCTTTTCCGGGTGATCTAGCTGAAGGAAAAGTCCAGTGAATCTTGAGAAATTTCTTAGGGTGGGCATTTCCTGGCTACTAGCTTCTGTACAGTGCTCTTTCCTTTCCTAATGCCATACAGCCAGACTCCTGTTGGATTACAGTCAGCTCTCCTTCACTGTGTGGTACCTATAATATTTGAGGATTATTGGTAACTTCTCCTGCCCCTTCACAACTCTAGGGAACAGACTGATTTTTAGAAGTCATATGTGTGTGTGTGTGTGTGTGTGTGTGTGTGTGTGTGTGTGTGTGATGTTTTCATATGCTCAGATTCATGTCAAGAATTTGATTATTATTATAATCATTGATTAGGTAACTGACTTAATGTGTCTTAGAGAAACAGCAAGCTTGAGGTGAGTTTTTCTCAGGGAAAGCTGTACCTGACATGGCTATGGATGAATGAGACATATTGTTGGTAAGCCATGGCAGCCCTGACTAGGTTATTATAAATTGATATGGTCTAATGTGACAGTTGACATCAGTGATGAAGTATTCTTGACTGTCATCATCAAGTATTTTTGATGCTTTACCTCTTATCACTGCAGTCCATTCCTGTTTGAAGTCTTAAGTTGTTCTCAGGACAGAGAAGTGATGTCTCCACCAGGGCTGCATCAGCTGTCTTTGCTTTGAGGGTTTTGCCGGGCCCTGGACCTATATGAAGGATTTTTCTAATTTGAACTAAGATCTCTGGGGCTAAAAGACCCTCATCTTGACTTACTGTTCTAAGAGCTATGATCAAGAAGTAGACCTGCGTTAACTTGCTGTACAAAGAAGAAAGGGAAGAGGGAGAAAACTGTTTTATTTGTTGTGTACTGGATTCTTGCCATAGGTTGAGCTTCTGGAAGTATTCTGGGTCAAGGTTAAAAGCATGGGTTTGAATCTTAGCCCAGGCACTTATTAGCATAGTGACCTCGGACAAATCACTTAACCTCTTCAAGTGTGCTTTTAATTGGAAAAATAAAGAAAGCCAATGTTGGACCTGGTATCACAGGCCTACAAATCCAGCTGCCAAGGAGATTGAGGCAGAAGGATCACAAGGTTGGGTTGGACTACAGAACGAGTTCAAGTTCATACTGGGCAATTTAGTGATGGGCTATCTCAAAATAGAAGCATAAACTAAAAGGGCTGGGGTTATAGCTCAGTGGTAGAGTACTTGAAGACATACTTCCTAAAAAATGGGAGAAAAAAATCAATGATATATATGTGTTAGCATAGTCTGTAATTTAGTAATGATTCAATACATGTTGGTGATGATTATAATTAAATTCCTGAGGAAAATGCTTATATGATGAAATTCCTCCATGAGTGTTGAATACTGGAATATTATTATTTTAAATAGTTTATTTTTATTGCAGCTTTACATTCACTACAAAATTGAGTGGAAGATATCAAGCTTATGCTCCTCCTGCCTCCACATATCCATGCCCCCGCCAGTTAACCCCTCTTGGACAGAGTGGTATATCACATATCTTATTTCCCAAGAGTCAGTGGCTTATCTTTCCATTCTCTTGTAGTGTCTTTTGCTGATAAAGAGCTTATACTTCTAATGAAGTCCAGGTTATTAATTACTTCTTTTATGAACCATGCCTTTAGTGATATATTTTAAAAGTTTTTTTAATCATACCTCAGATCATCTAGATTTTTCTCTCACATTATCTACTAAGGATTTCACAGCTTTGTGTTTTAATTATGAGCCATTATAAATCCTTTCTTCTTTAAAACATAAAGTAGGGTTCTTATATAACATACTATTGGGTCTTTAAAAAAAGAATTTACTCTGTCAATCTGTGTCTGTTCAATGGTATATTTAGAACATTGATGTTTAAATGATCCTTGATGGGGGCTGGAGAGGTGGTTCAGTAGTGAAGAGCACTTATTGCTCTTTCAGAAGATAGATCTGGATTCGGTTTCCAGCACCCACATGGCAGCTCACGTTACTCTGTAGCTCCACTTTTAGGGGATTTGATGCCCCCTTCTGGCCTCTTTTAGCACCAAGACACATGTATGGTACATTTACATATATGCAAGCAAAACACTTCTACACATAAAAAGGAAACAAATCTTTAAAATTATCATTGATATAGTTGGAATAATATTTATAAAAATTATTAATAATTTCTGCTTGTCACCCTTGTTATTTATTCATATTTAAATTTTTTCCTGAATTTTGTAGTTTTGGTTGAATAGTTTGTGTGATTCTATTTCCTCCTTTTTAAATATATTAATCATATTTCCTTAAAATTTTTATTTTGCTGTCCTAGAGTTTGCAACTAACATAACTAAACCACTCCCATGCCCAAATAAAAATACACTTCAGTTTGGACAAGGCTGTTATTGTAACAATTGATGTCATATATTTATATATATACACATATGCTATAGTCATCAAATATATTATTGTTATTATTATTATTTTTCACAAACATATGTTAGATTAATTAAAATAAGAAAAATACATTTCTTTTTTCTTCATTTATTCCTCTCCCAGTACTTTCTTCAAATAGTTGCAAATTTCCAATCTATTTAATTTTTGTACTCTCTAAAGAGTATCTTTTACCATTTCTTGTTAGCTGTAAGTTCCTCTATTTACATTTTTTTCAGAGAAAGTATTTCTTCTTTACCTTCAAAGAATTAACTTCACATGAGTTCTAGATTGGTGACATTTGTCTCTCAATCTTTTCTGTGTTTTATCCCATTCACTCTTTACTTGCATGGTTTCTAAAGAGCATCTAGATAGAATTCTTACCCAGAAGTATTTTTCTCCTGTAGATTTTTCTTTTTTTTCTTTTTTGAGATATTTTCATTGTCTTTGTTTTGCTTCAGGTTGACGACAGTGCACTGAGAGGTGGAGATTAGGGACCATTTATCTCTCTGGGTGTTCTCTAAATTTCCTGGGTCTGTGGTTTTGTGTCTGACATTAATTTTTTAGGGGATTCATTTTTGCTTTAAACCCTGCATCTGTTCCTTCCTTCCTGCTTGCCACATTTCTGTAATATTACCCATACTGTCTGTCTGCACTGTATGACACTGCCGTTGTCTAACCATTCTGAAATATTCTCTTCCATGCTTTACAATCTTTTCCCTCTTTGCTTTCCAATTAAAGGCATTTGTATTGGCATGTTTTTTTTGCAAGATTCGTTTCATTTCTCAGTTCTGTCTAATTTAATAACCAGGCCTTCAAATGCATTTTTAATTTTTGTTATAAGGTCATTGCTCTCTAGCATTTATTCACTCACCACCACAGAATTTCCACCTCTCTGCTTACATCATCCTTTTGTTATCATACTCATTATAATTGTATTCCCAACATATCTTATAACATATCTATCACAGTTTGTTAAATTATTACAGTTATGTCTAATGATTCCAACATTCTTGCCATGTGTAGCTCTAGCTCTGATGCTTGGTAAGCCTCTTTACATTGTGTGGACATTTTGTTGTTGTTCTCATTTTAATATAACTGATTTTTTTTTTCTGTGGTGTCTGGACATAATGGGTAAGAGAACCTGTGATTAATGAGCCTTTTGATGCTAGGGAGATGTCTCAGAGGGTAGAGCATTTGCTGCATAAAGCATGTAAATCTGGACTTGGTCATCCATGTCTGTAATAGCAATGCTATCTGTGAGACAGGAGAGGAGGTAGAACCTTAGAGACACACAAATCAGCTCACCTGGGCTATGCTGTGAACAGCAGAGAACCTGTCTCAGACAAGGTGGAAGACCAACTTTCGATGTTTTTCTCTGACCCCTGCATGTGTACCATGAAATGTGTGTTCTCAAATACACACACACACACACACACACACACACACACACACACACACACACACACCACACCACACATAAACACACACCACAATAAACCACACACATACATCACACACAGACCACACCACACACACACCACACACCACACATAAACCACACACATAGAGCACATACCACACACACACACACACACACACACACACACACACACACACTCCTACAATAAGCCTTCAGTATCTAGTATTGGTTAAGGGTGTGGGGCAAAGGAAGCATTCTACAGACTATGGTTGTCTTACTGGGTCTTTTAGTGATCCTGTGCTCTTGGACTATGAAGCACACCGGTGCATCTCTAGTTTTACTCTCCTTAAATGATTCATGTGGGTGGGGCAAGGATAGGGCTGGGTATTCCCATCCCCCTGGTCCCAGAATGCTACTCAAATTCTAGCATTTAACTCTAGCATTTTGATTTAAAAGTAAATCAAAAGAGGATTTACTTTTCCTCTGCTCGTCAGCAGGGCATTCTGGTCAGCTTCTTAGAGAAAAGTTCACTACAGGCAGGGTCCTCTAGGGTTGCTCCTCTCAGAGGCGTTCGTTCCTACATTGCTCCCCTAGAAACTGAGTTGTGATGCTGACTCCCCTCCCCAGTGACTGTTCTCAGGGAAGCTTCTGTTTGTATGCGGTCTGTTCTCCTAAATTGCAATCTTCTGAATTTGCTTGTCTTTCCAATTTTAAGGACAGCCATTTGCCTCATGAGCTCATTTTTCTGATGAATCTAAGAATCATCAGTTTTTAAAGCTTGTTCAGTTTTTTTCCTTGTTCTTGATATTGAGTGGTGGTTTCCAAGCCCTTCCATGTCAGGCCAGAAACAAAAGAACCCATTGCTTATGTAATTCTCAGCACAACCGTTCAGGTGAATGCCATTAGTGATTTCAAAAAGAACAAACTAGTCTGTCACAGGTAAGGGACTTGTCCAAGGTCATTTGGATTGGAGATGAAAGAAATGTGATCAAATTTGTCTGGCATCCCAAAGGAAACCACCACACCAGCAGTTCCTGCTCATACCGTGCATCCATCACTCGATTCTGGATGATTTGATTGGATTTGTCCTAATGCTTAATTTGAAGCTCTTTAAATTAAAGCTAAAAGGTGTCTTGACCTGGTTTTCTCAATTAGTAGGTTACCTAGGGAAACTACATCTTGGTTACTCAGTAAACTTTCACCTCATTCCCTTTTGACCTATGACTTCTGCTATTTCTTAGGGAAAGGAAATGGAATGAAGAGTAAGATATGCTTGCCTTGTTAGGTATTATCAGTGTCAACAAAATGATTTAGAATGGCATAGTGCAAAATAAGGAACCAAAATGTAGCTGTCAGCATGCACATGAGTCCCATTAGTTTTGGCAAAGTGGAAAAACAATGGACTTTAAACCCCAAGCTAGCATTATAGCTGAGTCCTGGCTTAGCCTTCGCCTGCAAAGCTCAGTTTTCTCAAATAATCAACAACTACTTACTTACATTTGTATCATCATTCAAATAAAATAAGTCATCTAGATCTGTAACCCAGTCATGGGAACTCAGAATTCCCTTGACCCTTGACAGGCAACATTCACAGTTTCTAAGAAGTCTTTGGGACTAGTTACCCTGCTTCCTACAGTGTTATGGAGTGAAGGTAAAGGCACTTGAGTTGGGGGTCGTGAGGGATGAGGAGGGATTGTTCTGGCAAATTTTTATGCTGAGAGGATATGTTCAATGCCTTCTTCTGTTCAAGGATTAGTAAGACTTAGTAATTTTGTGGTGGATAAAGGCAGAATTGAAGCTGGTAAGGGCAAGCAAGGCCAGGCCACAAAGAGCCTTGTATGTTAGATCAAGAAGTTTGAATCTTTTATTAGCAAAACTCTCATTTCTCAGGAATGCAGCAGGCTGTTGATATGGTCTGGTGGAGGGATGGCGAAGGTCTTAATGATGGTAGAGACACTGGCACTCATCAGTCAGGAAAAGCTGTTGATGTTAGGGACACAAATCCATGTGGTATGTTCATAACCTCTGGTCCAACTTCTCTGTCCTATTTTAGGCCATCTTACTTAGCTGATGACTAAGCTTCCTAAAGCCTCTGGTTTTCCACTATCAATGTCTTCCTAACACTGCTGTTGAATTGCGTCTCCAGAGTAAGGGTAGCTAGGCCATTGTCTGCTTAGCTGTGAAAGACTCTCAAATACCTTCGAGATGCACATGGCTGGGTCTATACCAGCTAGATTGTGATCACTTCCTTGGTCTCACTCTTATATTTCACTTAGTCATTGTTCCCAGTGAAATCATATTATAGCTGAGCCAATTACTGAGCCATAAACGTCTCCTTTCCCAGAAGTCTTTAAACTTTCATATAGACTCGGGTCATCGTTCCCATCTTTTTCTCCTTTTGGGAGTACCTCATAGGTCCACTGGCACTTGGGCTTGTCAGTTTGACCTCAACCATATCATCCAATATGATTCAGTAATTCTTAGTATGAGAGGGAATGGTGGAGAAAGATGTTAGGTGAGATCCATTGGTCCCAAACTTGACCTCCCCTATTTATCCTCTCTGACCTCCAAACTCAGCTTGATTCTTTTATTATCCTTCCCTCTTCAGTGGGGGTGGAATCCATGAATAAGATAGGACATTACTTCCATAATCTGGTAATGAATCAGTACTCGATGGGTCTGACCTCATCAAGGAGCCTTTAAAAACATCGAGGCACATCTTTTCTGGCCTTAAGAAAGAAGGGATTCTGGTTGGAAGATGCTCTGGGAGGGAGACAGGTAGTCATCAAGGAACAGCAAGTGGCTTCTAGAAGCTGAGGGAAGCCTCCTAGCAGCTATCCTGGAAGGGAATAGAGACATCAGTCATATAGTCTTAAGAAACTGAATCCTACTTACCAAGATAGGAACTTGAAAGATAACATGGAACTCCAGAAAAAATGCCTCCTAATGTTTACCTTTTAGGCTGGGTAGAAAACCTCTCTCATTAATATCTGGACTTCCAACCTACCAAAACACAACAACAACAACGAAACAAATCAACACCCCCCCAAACAAACAAGCCAATCAATAGATGTATTTGAAGGGGCTAAATTTTGGACACTTTCTTCATTAATAATAGCAAACTACCCTAAGTCTCTTCCCACCAATAGACCTCTGGGATCTTTATCCAAACTCATTTTTGCCTCAGCTCTGGACACCAAGAGGACAAAGAGAGAGAAGAGGAGAGAAGGGAGAGAGAGGGAGAGAGAGAGAGAGAGAGAGAGAGAGAGAGAGAGAGAGAGATCAAGCCTTAAAGTCGTTTTCATCTTTTTCTACAGAATACCTCTGGTTTAGAGTTACATAACAAAAAGTGATCATTCTAGAAGAGACTGCTCTTTAATAAAATTCTGTTTGAAAAGAGCTTGCTGAGCCCACCTACACAGAAGCAATGCTGGTGTGCTAGGTAAGGAAGGAACTGGGCTTGGCTCACCAAACTCTGCACTGTGCGTGGCTAAGAGTGAAATAGGGAGCAGAAGGAGAAGCTTTGGAGAAGATAGATGCATATAGTTTGCAAATATATGTATGTATTTGAAGGGGCTCTGCACATCAGCAGCAGGAGCATTGACATGGAGCACTTCTAGGAATGTCACTTCTTGGGCCCCATCCTAGAACTACCGACTCAGATGCTGTGTTTTAAACTGCCGTTCAGGTGCTTCTGTTGTGCAATGACTTTGAAACCATTGACAGTGACAAATCACTATTGGTTATACAAATAGTACATAGCAGAATTTTCTGTGGGAAGCCATCCTTTAAAAGATAACTCAATGACAAAGGATACACGTCACACCCAAATCTCAAACCTGCTCAAAATGTCTGCAATACTGTGACCAGCCACCTTTAGGCAACCATAGATCTCACTGACTTGAAGGTCAGATACTCTGATATAAAGTGTTAGGGTCACTCTGGGATGAAGCTGCCATGAATTGATATTCAGTAAATAATTGTGTGTTGTACTAATAAACTGGGACCAAAGATCATATCCCTTGTTTGGATCCTTGGGTTGCAATCTTTTCCCCAGGTGCTCTCAGGGACAAATCTTCCCTCACTAAGAAGTAAGGAGAATTCCTCTGTGGTCAGAAAACTTGTTCTGGAACAGCAGAAGTATGGGACATGGTGAGCAGTGCCTTGGCATAAGAAAAGAAACCACAGATAAGAACAAAGTTCCATCCAAGAGCCCACTTCTGCCTCTTCTGCCTTTAGCTCGGCAGCTATATTCAGTCTTCTGGATGGGCCCAATGCCTCAGGTAAAATATTCGACTGTCCCTTGAAGAGAACCTAGGGCAGAAACTCTAGTACCCCTTTATAAAACATTAAAGAGAAAATAATCAGCAGCGAAGTGCACATCAACAGATGGGGGATTTAAGGGCTTTGTAGGCAGTGAAAGCTGCCTACATTCTGAGGGTACAAGGCACTCTCTCAGTCTGGTCAACCAGACCTCAGTCCCTTCTGTACCATGCACTATTGTGTGATTCTTGTTACCTCAGAAAGCTCAGATAATTAAAACAGTTTATGTTTTGCCACTTCCAAGAATCCCTCTTGCGATTTAAATGATTCATACACCCAGGGCTTAAAGAAGAAAATAACCTCATTGTTGTTTGCTCTGTTCAAGCTCTCAAGTGCTCGGCTCATTATTTTGTTATCTGGTAAAAATGAGTTTATCTCTAATTCTCTAATCTTTTCCATGGGGAATTCTTACAGGATAATAAAAATTCCTTATTTAACCAGCAAAGAAACAGCTGCTCTTTTCGGCACGTTGTGTCTCCCTTTTAGGGGAGGGTGAGTGAGGGAGATACCTGCTGTCACATGCTAATTTTCTTATGTCATGGAGCAAATTTTAGGAGACTAGACAGAGTTGTTGAGGAAAAGCTGGGTGAGCCTCCTCTTGTTCCCACACCAGAACAGGGCTTATAGGTGGTGTAGACTGTGACATCCTAGCTTGTTTATCCCATTGTTGTTGTATAGCCCCCATTTTGCCTGTTCTCAGTTGCATGTTTCTGTTTGCCTGCAGAGCAATTCTACCATCATGAGGGTCCATCCAGATGTGCTCCCCTCATACCTACTTCCCCACTGTTCCACAGCCCTCCAAACCACAAATCTCTTCCTTGTTTTTGTCATTTTGACATTTCAAGAATGTTACCTGAAGTGAGCCTATGGAGCGTTCTCTGATTGTCTTAAAACCAGTGTAATTCCCTTGGGATCCATTCAGATTGTTGCATGCACCAATAATTTGATTAGGGTTTCATCATAAGTGTGGGCTTCAGTTTATATAACCATTTACTTATTAAAGAAGATCTGATTGCTTCCAAATTTGGGGTGCTGGTTTTTTAAGGACATAGGCCTTTATTTAAGAGGACCAAATGCATAAAAGTTTAACTTGGATGATAGATATGTTTTTAATTTGCTACGATCTCACCAAATTGTTTTCTAGAATAATTTTGCTACTTTGTACTCTCACTAGCAATGCACAAGTGATCCAGTGTCTTCATATCCTCACATAACTTTGTGTTGTCACTAATTTGTGTGTATATATGTATGTCTGAAATTGAGTACACACGTGTGTGTGTGTGTGTGTGTGTGTGTGTGTGTGTGTG